TGAGCATAGTATGATTAATGGTCAGGGTTTAATATTTCCTATTGGATTCTAACTGATTTATCATAGCTTTCTGGCAGACATGCAGCCTTTAAAATCATTTTCATATCAGCATGCCCAACCAACATAGTAGAAAGTAACAAAAAATGTCTAGCAGCCATAATTAAATTTGAACGACAACAGGATACTCATTTCAAGTAATTATTAATATCATGCCCCTCAATAGAAATTTCAGGTTTAATTTTAACTTTAACTTCTTGAGGCTAAGGATTGTGTCTCAGAGTTCTTCTTAGTTCAGGGCATAGGACAGAACATGGGATGTTGCAGCTGCTCAAAGAATGTTTCCTAAATAAATAAATAAATGGAAAATGATAGTTGAAACAATCTTGGTTTGCTTCTACCAAACCAGTAAGAGGAAGAAGCAAAATAACAAATTCTTCCTGCGCACAGTTAAGCTTGCAAATTTAATCATATAAAACAAAAACAGTGTCTTTAAAGTACCATTTTTGAATGAGGAAAAAATAGAAAAAGAGAAACATAAGTTATTTTACTCTTAAGTCCAGAGACCTCATACCTTGAGAACATTTCTCTATGTATCTACAAGCTTAGGTACCACTTTTGGCAATATTTTGCGCAACTATGAAGTGTGCTATAATTTTGTTCTTCTTACTGATACATTTACTATCAATTAGGTTAAGTCAAGCGAGCAGCTAGGTGAGATTACAGATATGAGACCTTCAGCATATCTGTTTTACAACTGTGCTTTCACTAGATTAACTTTATAAGACTTTTATTTTTATTAAATACCAGAGGCATTTTGCAATAACACGTTTAAATGATCAACAAACGTTGCTGTTCATGCAATAATACAAAAGCTGCCAAAACAGATATGCCAGTTGGCAGGAAGCACTACTATGTGAAGCCTATATCTAAAAGTAAAAATATTTAGATTATCCAAAAGTAGAAATGTTCAAAAGTTGAAACTTCCTTTGACCAGTAAGATTCCACTGAGATACAGAGACTGTGAAATATCAACTTAGAATTATTGACCTAAGAACAATTTTCTTTAGGGGTAGAGAAAACATGAACCGGGGATTACTGTGCATATATATATTTTTTTGGTGCAAAAAAGCAATAAAAATGCAGTCTTATTGCTTCTGTGTTAGTGCTGGTAGTACTGCAAACAATAAAAGTAAAATAACATGGTTCAAAAATGGTTGGAAAAAATCACAAGGTAAAAAGTTAAGGAAATCACACAATAGCTAGTGAATGGAACAAAGGGAACTAAGCCTTAGAATTTCTAGGATTCGCTCTCAGATACTGAACATGATAAAAGGTCTTTGAAAAGATCATAAATACTTCTCAGAAAAGTATTGTAAGAGCTTGTCACAATCAATCTACAATACTGTCTTTTTATTTAATGTACTTTTAGATTTCCTTTTCTTTTACATTACCTAGCATGCAATCTATAAGTATTTACTGAGTAATGACCAATGTGCAGATAACATGCTAGCAGAGAGAGATTCTAAAGTAGGTAAAGTAATCTACATTCTAGAAAGGAAATACATAAATATGGAAATATTTACAACATGAACATAATGAGGTAAGAGCTTACAGAGACATATACAAAATGTATCAGGAGGATGCTTATTAATGATGAGCTGCTTTGTGTGAGGAGAATTCAAAAATAGTACTGAAAATAAACGTTTGCATATTTTTCATTAATTTAGGTGCAAAATTCAATGATCAGATTAAGATAATAACATTAGTGTCTAGTAACATAAATGTTATTATTTCAGCCTTCTGAATAGTTTTGAATGTGTCATTTTTGTTACTACTTTACTTAGTAAACTACTTTATTATTACTGTCTCACATAACTTTAAACATTTTAGCTAAACAGAATTTTCAGAGCTTGACATTTATGTACTTCCTCAATTTCTAAAGCAAAACTGAGAAGCAGCTCAGAGTGAAAAAGAGAAATAGTAAATGTTAACAACTTACCAACATTACTGAATATATCTTTGTATAAGGTCATTAGGTCAATATAAAAAGTCATGAAATAATTCAAGGAATTGATAAGCAACAAGCAAGAGGAACTACACCAATCTGGAGAATGCACAGTAACACACAGAAATGTTGTGGCGATGTAAAGGACACAGCATTAATAATACAGAATGATAACTGGGAAATATTCCTATCCCTTTTGCACATAATGGACCTATTGCAAATAGTTCACAAACCTAACAAATAAATACAGTTAAGTTCTCAATTAATATTGTTAATCAGTTACTGGAAATTGAGACTTTAAGTGAAACAACTTATTGTATGATGAAATCCATTTTACCATAGGCTAATTGATAGAAACAAGAGTTAAGGTTCCTACAGCTTACAGTATGTCACTTTGCTCAAAGTTGCAGTTTCCAAGAATCTACTGACAATGTTAAGATAGGACTTACTGAAGGCAGTATTTATTTACTAAGAATAAATAAACTTTCTTTTAAGAAGTATATAGAAAGTAAAATAAATAAAATATTTGTTGCTTTATATTCAGCCATACTTTTCTACTCACCCTGGGCTGCAAGATAAACAACTGTTTGTTGTTTTTTTATTTTTATTTTTATTTTTTATAGAAATGGGGTCTCCCTATGTTGTCCAGGCTGTTCTTGAACTCCTGGGCTCAAGGGATCTTCCTGCCTCCGCCTCCCAAAGTACTGGGATTTAAAGGTGTGAGCTGCCATGTCATGCCCCGCCAGTAAACAACTATTTTGTATGATGCTTTAAACAAAACATTTTACTAAACAAATGTTTCTGTCAAACTAATAGCAGCTTCTGACTTTTTTTTTGAGACAGAGTCTCACTCTGTCGCCCAGGCTGGAGTGCAGTGGCGCGATCTCTGCTCACTGCAAGCTCCGCCTCCCAGGTTCACGCCATTCTCCTGCCTCCGCCTCCCAAGTAGCTGTGACTACAGGCGCCTGCCACCGCGCCCGACTAATTTTTTTGTATTTTTAGTAGAGACGGGGTTTCACCATGTTAGCCAGGATGGTCTCGATCTCCTGACCTTGTGATCTGCCCGCCTCGGCCTCCCAAAGTACTGGGATTACAGGCGCGAGCCACCGTGCCAGCCCTAGCTTCTGACTTTTAACCAACTTAACCCCCAAATACTAAGCACAGTATTGAGTTACAGATGGGAAGTCTTGCAACATGTATGCATGTGTATGTTCTAAGACTGGAGCCTGGAGAAAAATGGGTGAAATAGAGAAGCCTTGCACGGAGGCAGTGTTAGGAATTTGTATCAGGCTATTATTCTGATTTTCTTCAAGGAGAAATGCAAGGCTTTTAGTTTCTATGTACCTGTAAAAACCACACTACCATAATGAAGGCAAAGAACGGTGACAAATACCATTTGTTTTCTTTGTTAGTTTAATATGTATCCTGAAACACTGAATCATTATCAGGTACACTAGTCCTAAGTAGTCCAATTACAGACAATCTATCACTAAGTCACTATCTCTATAATACCTCCTACTGACACATTTGAAATAAACTTGCAATTTTGTCTTCTACCAACATATCTAAATTTATTGAATGTAGTCTTTAAAAGGCACTGCTAAGTTTGCAGAATTATTACTGTTAACAAAATTTAAATAGAAATCAAGTATCTATGTTGAGAATGATCTCCTCCAACATCTCCCTGTAATATGCAAAATTCATCAACATCATGAAGGGATAAAAGGAAATAAGGGAGAGGAAATAAAGAAAAACCTAAAACAAAACAGAAGCCAAATTCATATCGAAGGAGAGAAGTATAGGGATTTTGAACAATGTTCCTGAGGTAGCAAAGATCTCTGGGCATTCAGAAAGGACTTCGAAAATATAAATCAACTGTAATTCATTTCCTAATTCTTCCTCTTTTCTTCATCCATTAAAAAAAAGTTTTTCACAAAAGAAGCAGCAGGCCCTTTTATGACTATGAAAATGGGAAAATCATTATATTTTATTACTAAGTAAGGAGCTTGGCAGGCGAGTCTGTCAGCCCCCTTCCATGAACCTCAATGTCCATCCTTCCTCAAGTCATGCAGAGGTACAGGGTTGGACAAAGAAAATCAAGGACTGAAAGGGCTCAGAAATAGGGTAGGAATGTCAACTACATGCTTCACTGAAAATTTTTTTAAAGGCTAGAAAATTTAATTATTTGCTTTCTAAACCCTATAAATATGCTTCTAGCTTCAACGTAATTATGTCAAACAGCAGTTTCAAAATGGCTTGATCAAAATATTCCATGACTTCTCCAAATACTCAAAACTGGAAATCTGTCCAAAGATCCATTTTTAAAATCCCCAATCTTCGTTACAGATGAAGAAATAAAAGAATGTCCTTGGGAAAACCAGTTATTCTCCAGACCTTCCTATAAAACATCAAATCAATTTATATTTATTGAATGCCTGCTACAAATGGGAAGGCAATTTTCCTGAGATTATGCTTCAGTAAATAGGAAACTTTAATGCCTGTTTCTGTGGGAACTGTAAGTATTTGGAGATACTTCCTGTCTTGATTCTCCAATTTCAGCACTACGGAGCATATGTGAGACAGGAACCATGACTCCTCAGGAGAAAAGGAAGTTTGCTTGAAAATATCAAAATAAGATTTATCTACTAAGATTTACTTGCCTTTGGAAACTGACCTACTACAAACAGAATCTATGAATAAATAGCATAAATATATTTAGTTGGTAATATCTACAAGTGAACATCCTGAAATCCATGGTACTATAGAAGTACAACTACTGATGACTAATAAAATTAAGTTACACATTTAAAAGAAACAAAATATAAGATAGTTAAAATCAAATTATATAAAGCAACTCAAACATACAAAATGTCTACACAATCATTTAAAATAAAGCACTTATCAGCATTACTTCCTAAGCCATTAAGAAGAAAACTGAAAAGAAAAATACTAGTAGGACACATAAGACAGACATCCAGGTTGTTAATGATTATACCTGCCATGCCGTAAGGCAAGAGGTGCACATCAAATGCCCACAAGGCTCAATCTTGACATCTTTGTCATTCTCTGCACAAATCTTACAGAGCTGAAAAGTGGAGCCCATTTCACAATATAATTCATATTGTTCCTGGAATTTGGGGGAGGGGGAAGGAAAGTAGCATTAATGTATTTCCAGCATGAATTGTTAGTATCAAATTTTCCCAAATAAAATGACACACAGTAAATATCTCACAATTGATCTTGTCAGAATTTTGTTACCATCTGAGACATGTTTTGAATTGATAATCACAATTTGGTCTACAAAATCCATTCTAAAAAGGTTTGAACTTTTATCATCTATCCTATATGCTTCTTATTATTCATATTATTTAAGGTTCCTTTAGGGAAGGACTTGCTTCAATAGTCATGGTGACTCAAAAGACAAAATCTATGGTTTTAAAATAGGAATATAAAATGATTTTATCTTTTTTATAAATGCCACATGCTCATATAATTTAACTGTCAAATTGAAAAAAAAAAAAAAAGGATACTTGGCTAAACATTATTTTTTGTTTCAATATCTTTAGAAATCCCAGAAGGGAAGAGAAAAGTGACAAATATTTACCAAGCATTTCCTGTATGCCAGGCACTGTGGTCTACACTTACTATTTCACTTAATCGCCAAAGCATAAGAACATATATTGAACTTAACAAAAGTTAGGCCTGGGGCTTAATGAGTTTAAATTGTTTGCTTCAAACTCTAAATGAAGTCTCTGACTAAAAAGTGCATACTCTTTCCCTAACACTGTCAAGAAAACAAATCACATCAGTAACCAAAAACCATTTTATTAAAACTGCCATGTTCTTGATTGATTAGGCTTTTAGCTTAAAACATTTGACACAGTAAAATTTTCAAAATTCAAAACATTTGACACAGTAAAATTTTCAAAATTCAAATACTGAAAAGATCTTTGTGACAAAGATAGAAATAAATTGGTAAATTCGAAAAAAATATAAAAAAAATGTTAGGAATACAAAGAAAAGGAATTATGAAACCAATATTTGGGTAAATAAAGCAACTTTTAGTTCGGTAAGTGACTACAATGTGCCTGGCACTGAGTAGGATAAATAAATAACAATATTTAGTCCACCGCCTACTAAAATATACTATAATCCTGGTGAGAAAAAAATATATATATACATATAAACACATGTGGATACATATGCATGTACATGCAGGTACACACATATAAACTGTGTCTACTATGATGCGTGAATATACAAAAATTTTATGGGGAACTTAAGGAAAGAGACAAGAGAGAATGCATAAAAATGGAAAAGAAATAAAACTAAAGTAATTCAAAGTAAGTTATAAATTGCTGATGTCCCTGAAATAATAGGTAAGTATTGATACTGGTTATGACTGTCTAAAGGACAAATACGCAATTATAAAAAAAATTACATTAGGCTAAAATCACAGATACAGACCTCAGTGCAACCTAAACAATAAGAATATGTATGAGTAATTTAAGGGAATGTTATTACTTCCAAAGGTTTATTTTTTTTAATGGCTTTATAAAGAGGAACTGTCTTTCCTACGTATCCTTTCACACATATTTGAAAATATGGGATCACTACAAAACTTTTAAAATGGCAATCACATATTAAATTTAAAATGGCAATCATAACTGGGCACGGTGGCTCACACCTGTAATCCCAGCACTTTGGGAGAGCGAGGCAGGTGGATCACCTGAGGTCAGGGGTTCGAGACCAGCCTGACCAACATGGAGAAACCCTGTCTCTACTAAAAATTCAAAAATTAGCCGATGTGGTGGCGGGTGCCTGTAATGCCAGCTACTTGGGAGGCTGAGGCAAGAGAACTGCTTGAACCCAGAGGGCGGAGGTTTTGGTGAGCCGAGATTGCGCCACTGCACTCCAGCCTGGGCAGCAAAAGCAAAACTCTGTCTCAGAAAAAAAAATGAAAGAAAATGGCTCACGCCTGTAATCTTAGCACTTTGGGAGGCTGAGGCAGGAGGATCACGAGGTTGGGAGATCGAGGCCATCCTGGCAAACATGGTAAAACTCCGTCTCTACTAAAAAATACAGAAAATTAGCTGGGCATGGTGGCGGGCGCCTGTAGTCCCAGCTACTCAGGCTGAGTCAGGAGAACGGTGCAAACCCAGGAGGCAGAGCTTTCAGTGAGGCGAGATGGCGCCACTGCACTCCAGCCTGGGCGACAGAGCAAGACTCCATCTCAAAAAAAGAAAAGAAAAAGGCAATCGCTTATTAAATGTACATGTACAATATGTACATATAAATGTCAACGTGTATGTCTCACATAATAATGTAAAGACCACAGGAACTGAAACTTGGATAATTATAAGGTAAATCATTATCTACTATCTTTAAAAAAGCTGTAATTCTCTTGTTTTTTTCCCTCAGATTTTTATTATTTATTACACAAGGCATGAACATGTCTCAAATATAAAATATTTTAAAACCAGACTGAATGTAAAATAAAAAAATACTCAAATTCTCCCTTCATCCCCTCCCTGATTGCTCAATCCCTGTTACCTCCTCAGTTAAATCCTTTTACCAGTTTGGTGGTTTTTTTTGATCTTTTAAAAAGTATACTCACATGTTCACATACAGCAATTAATTATGTATTTCCTTACAGAAGTTGAACATACATAATGTAACTTTACCAAATGAAATGTTACCTACTTGTACTTTACATAAATGGAATTATTTTATAGTACAAGATGCAGAAGTTCCCATGTATGTAGAGCTACCTCCCTCCTGTTGATGACTTCACACAATACAGTATGAGAATACTAGCCTATTTAATCTATTACTAAACTTCTTAGTATTTTGTAACTTTTTACTTTTAGAAAAAAAATTACAGTAAATATCTGTTGTACAGGTTTTTTTTGTGTGTGTAAGTGATATATATGGGATCTATTACATATATAGATGCTAAAGTGAAAAGATATTTTCACTTAGATTTTTACAATTACTGAATATCACTCTCAAGAAAGGTTTTACCAACTTACATTCCCATTCAAAATCTATGAGGTTGCTAGCAATGGATTTAGAAAAACATAACTGTTATCTTCAACAGGCTTCAATTATCTATTTGACTCTAAAATCTAAGGCATATGATTATTCTAATCTTTTTTTGGGAGCTTTCTAAACTATGGCTCTCTCCTTACATCCACCTACCTGCTCATGGATTTATTTATTTCCCCCATATAAATGCCAATACTATATGGAAAGCAAGAATTCTAACAGCATAAATTTGTATCAAAAAATCTAAGAAAGTAATATAATTTCTCTTTAAACACTCTTATAATTCCTTAAGTATATTTTGTATGAAATACTTGTGCATGATTTTAACTACTGTATAAGAGTCTTATTTATTTAGAAGGCATTATGGATACTTATTTAATTATACTTTTCTAGAAATTACCTTACCTGTGTAACTTTTATATGGTCATGAGGTGTAGGTTCACATAATCCAGTTAAATCAGGATTATAACTCCTCCCGTCAGGATAAAGATAACTGAATTTAAACAGAAACTTTATTATCTTAAATATACAAGTTTTAATTGCATTTAAGGATATTTAATCAACTTTTTCTATATTCAAACATACATTTGGATGTTTCCTTTTTATGTAACATATCGATAACATATTACTTCATTATTTCCAAAATATTATGTTGTTTTTAGGACACTTAGAATGTAGAAATTATTTTCATATAAGAAATACATAATGAATATAGCCCAACCCACTAAGCAACCATTTTCAATGCAATACCTTTAATATATGTCTCTTATATAAGCTAAGAATATTTCACTGATCAATCATGTTCTATTCCAAAACACTTTGAGGATATACCTATTTGCAACTGTTACATCTTTCATCTGAGGCACAGGTAATGTTAATCACATCATTTTACACCATGCCTAATACCACGTGGAAAGAAAATATAATTAAAGGCCACAGTTCTCTTGTAAGTTATTCAAACGCTTCTGTGGTGTTCCTGTTTCTACAGTTTCCATATCTCTTCTCTCATCTTCCCCTCACCCTAACACAAACACATATGCACAAATGCAAATACACATACACATGCACATACACATTTTAAAAAATTAGAAAATGCTACATTTCCATGTTTCATTGACTTAACACTACAAACACAAAATGGTCTATAGATAGAAACAAGGTTCTATTATCAGGAAAAACTGAAATCTGAACTAAAAGTTGTAGTAATAATGCATTCTTCCTGTGTTAAATCAGAATTGTACTTGTTATTCAAAAATTCATCAAAAAATAAAATTTACTGTGTTGGTAAACACTTATTTTTAATTTTAAAAAGTGGTAATGTCACTGCTGTGTTTCATCAGTTTATTAAATTATGGTTAATTCTGTTTAACATCTTTCTATACTAAATTTCTTAAATAAAATAGTAAGAATATAGTACTATAGTATGTATATTTAAAAGGGTAAAACTATAACAAATCTATTCTTTAAAGTAATAAACAATATTTATCCTCGAATGAGGTGTCTACAAACACGTTAAGTGTTAGAATTTACCCAGGAAAACCAGAAAAATGAACTTAAAGGACAGATAATTCTGACATCGTAAGGGACAAATCAGTGAGATGATTTTTTTTATGATTTAACAAAAGGAATTTACTACATCTGAGTATGATACAAATTTAGAATGTCCTTATGGGTGTGCTACAAAATTTGACAAATATTAAATGAGGAATGATAATCCAAAGAAGATAAGCAACTTTTTAATATACTCTAAAAATTTGCCATTTAAAAAAATATTACATAAAATTTTAGGTATCACATTTCAATAATATGAAGAAATTCTAGCAATAATTCAGAAATTAAAGTTACAAAAATGAGGATTAGGATACCATAGGAAAGGTTAAAAGTTCTTTTTAACCTATCAGGAGGTTGTTGATAGGTTAAAAAGGTATAAAAAGGACCTTTAACCTTTCCTATGGTACGCTAGTCATCATTTTTGATTATTTCTGTCCTTAGTACACCCAGGATATACTGCAGATGAGCGCTTTTCAATGGCATTGAAGGAGTAAAGAATGTTGGGTGGTTATCAAAATAAACATCTCTTTCAACTATGTCATACAATATTGGATTAACTATTAATATAAGGAAATACAGTGGACCCGGATGGTAGCTGGATGCAATGATATCCTATTCTGATCTTATGAGAAACCTTATCTAATTAATTTATAAATCCTATTTTATCCTAATATATTATTAAAGTTCAAAATCAACTAGCTAAATCCCTCTGGAGATGCGTGTGTGTGTGTGTGTGTGTGTGTGTGTAACTCTCAAGAGTTACTGTGCCCAGGAGTTTAAAGGCTTTGCTCCGCTGATTATAATACTAAAATTTGTGACTCTTTGAATGACATTTGAAAAACAGAAGGAATAACTCAAACAAGCTATATCAAAATTTTTCCCTCTACAGATTTGTGCATTTACCATCTACTTATAAATTAAAACTTTAAAGTATATTTTCTTAAAAAAAAACTCTGTAATCATTGTAAATCAAAATCTATACACAAATCTTTGATGCATTAGAAGAAAGGTATAAATAACCAAGACTAGCAAATTTATGAAAATCAGAAGGAAAAGGAAAGAGAAATACACATTTGGTACCATATCTTGCCATACAATTACTACGTAACTAATTTATTGAAAGGTTTCGTGTGTGTGGGTTTTTTTTTTTTCTTTCCAGATAGGGTCTCACTCTGATGCCCAGGCTGGAGTGCAGTGACACGATGTCGTCACTGTAGCCTCAACTTCCCAGGCTCCGGTGATTATCCCATCTTAGCCTCCAGAGTAGCAGGGACTAGTCACGCGCCACCATGCCCAACTAGTTTTTTTGCTTTTTTTGTAGAGATAGGGTTTTGCCATGTTGCCCAGCCTGATCTCGAACTCCTGAGCTCAAGTGATCCTCCTGCCTTAACCTCCCAAAATGCTGGGATTACAGGAGTAAGCTACCAGTCCCACCCAAAAGCTCACAGGTTTTTAAAAATTCCTACTTTTTCTTTGCATAAATCTCATCACTTTTTTTCTTTTCTTTCTTTCTGTTTTGCAATTACTTCGAGAAAGGTAAAACTCAAATCATTTGCTCTTTGTTAACTCTGGTGGACTTTCTTCTGCTAGGTTTCAGAATTCATACTGCAGTGAGTTTGATCATGAGCATCTCTAAGTTACCCAGCAAGGCAGAGGGGAAGAAAAAGCAGCATGATCAAGTGCACTGAGAATACAAGGAGAGGACAAAGGGAGTGACATGTGAATAAAGCAAAGAAGAACCAGACATATTTACTATTAAGGGACCCAACAGATTGTCCATACTTTGTGTGTCGAGGGAGTGGGGAGAATTCATTAATTTAAAAAACAAAGGGGAACTTATTTATTTTTAAATTTTAAAAAGGAATATAGCCTGAGATAAACTAAACTTAGCTATTAACACATAGTCCTAGAATATGGAGTTATTATCAGTGTGAATGAAGGAAAGATCTACGAGAGAAAAGAAAAGGAAGGGGTGGAGGGAGAAACAGATAAGAAAGAGAAAAGAAAGTCTGGCACTAACAATCAAACTTTAAAAAGTGAAACTGGCCGGGCGCGGTGGCTCATGCCTATAATTCCAGTACTTTGGGAGGCTGAGGCGGGCGGATCATGAGGTCAGGAGATCAAGACCATCCCGGCCAACATGGTGAAACCCCCCTCTCTACTAAAATACAAAAAACTAGCCAGGCGTGGTGGCACATGCCTGTAGTCCCAGCTACTTGGGAGGCTGAGGTAGGGGAATCCCTTGAACCCAGGAGGCCGAGGTTGCAGTGCCAAGATTGTACCACTGCACTCCAGCCTGGCAACAGAGTGAGACTCCGTTTCAAAAAAAGAAAAAAAAAAGTGAAACTAGTAATCTAAGGGTTATATGAGGAAAAAGAAGTCAATTATTCTAAATAATTTAAAATATAAACAGTTTTACATCCATTTTAAAACTACCTTTAAGTCCCAACTTTTTATCATATGAAAGATAAAAATTCATGTAATTTGAAGTTGAAATGTATTTGTTGTAACATAGTTTCAAATAATTAGGTTACCTTAAAATGACTATATAAAGAGATGAACAACAAACTAAGGAACATCCATTATTTCTCAGCCTTAAGATTAAAAAGCAGCCTCGCTATCCATTTTCTCCATCACAAAGCAATCTTTATTTTTCAAATTCATGAATCATAAGCACTCCAACTCCCATTTCTCATACTTACAATCCTTCCCTGCTGCCATCGATCAGGGCTTGAAATAAGGGCTTGTTATGAGGTATGGTCTGTAAGATATTCCCATCCCCAGTCACATAGCCAATGGCCCACTGTCCCAAACGAGTGCAACTTAACCGGAAAATATAGCTGCAAAACATAAGAAAATTATGTTTAATTTAATTCAGAATGTAAATCAATACTAAACAATTTGTTAGGGTTCCTTCAAGCAAAACAATAAACAGAATCATTTAGAATTCCTGAATACTCCTCATATTCTAACTTCTAACTTATTTTTAACAACATTGTACTTTTCCATTTATCAATTTAGAAGAGAAACACTGATCATTACTTTTTATTTAAATACTTCCAGATACATATATAAGAAAATAAACAAGATTGTAAACTATCCAGGGATTTTTTTTTTTACCATCATCAGGGTGCTGTGTATGGAAGTGTTGATGGCATGGAATAGCTACAAAATAAATCACTCTTGGAATGTAAAAACAAAATAAGTGAAAATTTAAATTCAATTTGCTTACCTCAGAAAAAAACTGAGCCAGTTTCTACTGTAGAACTCGATATATTCCTTTGTAATTTAGACATTAAAATTAGTTTTGTTTGTTTGTTTTTTGAGACGGTGTCTCTGTCGCCCAGGCTGGAGTGCCATGGCGCGATCTCGGCTCACTGCAACCTCCGCCTCCCAGGTTCAAGCGATTATCCTGCCTTAGCCTCCCGAGTAGCTGGGACTACAGGCGCGTGCTATGATGCCCAGCTAATTTTTTGTATTTTTGTTGTTGTTGTTTTTTAGTTTTTCAGACAGAGTCTTGCTCTGTCGCCCAGGCTGGAGTGCAGTGGCGCGATCTCGGCTCACTGCAAGCTCCGCCTCCCGGGTTCACGCCATTCTCCTGCCTCAGCCTCCCAAAAAGCTGGGACTACAGGTGCCCGCCACCACGCCCTGCTAATTTTTTTGTAGTTTTAGTAGAGACGGGGTTTCACCGTGTTAGCTAGGATGGTCTGGATCTCCTGACCTCGTGATCCGCCCGCCTCGGCCTCCCAAAGTGCTGGGATTACAGGCGTGAGCCACCACAACCGGCCAATTTTTTGTATTTTTAATAAGTGTTGGCATTACAGGCATCAGCCACCGCGCCCGGCCCGCTTTTTTAAAAATAGTAACTTTTCTTTCAGGTATTCCAGCCATTCATCCCTAAGGTTCAAAAGTGCAAACTAGGTAATTTCATGGCTGCCATCTAACCATATCAAATTCAGTATCTTACAATGGGAAGTTAAGATAGTTCAAAAAGATAAATCAAATCAAATCCCTTAAAACTAATATCCAACAAAAGGAGACAGCAACTTGGCTTTAAATCCATCATTATCATTTATGTATCAATCTAGCTATCTATATACTTATTTCATTTTAGATCATTTCTCTTTATTTGAGTGTATTGCATTTAATCTTTCTATCACGATACCCTTCTGGATTTTATTACCCCATTAAGCAGATCAAAAACAAGCCAATTTAAATCTGTTGTCTGTATTTTAATACTCTAGCTGCTGTATGTATGTGGCAGACACAAGTATCTCAAAATATACTTTAGTTATTGATAGATCAAGTACTATAAATGTAACTTTAAAGATATACTTTAACATACATAATGGCTGTAGTCACTGGATTTAATTAACTTGTATATTTAGTAGTAGAGTGTAATTTCATCTTTTGACAAACTAGAATTTTAAAAAAAGAAGTGATTTTTAAATATTAAAAAAATTATATTGGTGATAGAATCTTTGGAAAGAACTTTTCAAAAAAGTCTAAAAACATATATCCCTAGACAAACTGAAAATAGGATATCAATCTGTCGATTATTGGCATTCTTAATCAAAATCAGATAAAATAATGCCACTGAGACTTACGGCTATGATATTATGAGAAGTGCCAAAAATAATAGAAAGTCACTATAAATTATAATTCAGAAGGACATTATTAAACTGTTACATAAAAAATTAATATAAAATTCCTTCAAATTAAATCAAAAGTTAGAATCTTAAAAATCTGTGTACTATGAATCTCAGCAAAATTTATAGAGTATATTAACATGAAGAAAATAATTACAAATCTGCATTGCTAGTAATTTTAAATGTAATTCCAAATTTATTCGTATACTAAGAATCTAGTAGATACTGAAATACATACTTGTGAAATTGCTCAGATTTTTAATTCATGTCCTTTTCTATTGCTCTAAACATTGTTTTGGGATGGTGTTTCTAAAACTCATTACTACACAGAAGGTTCAAGCAATTCATGTATATAAGAGATAGTAATACCAGCAATCTGGTAAGAGTCAAGGGCATTTTAGAACAATTTCTTCCTCTCATGCACCTTTTTCCTATCCCATTTAATTTGCTGCTGACCCTTTGGCTTGTGGCTACCCCTTCCCAACCTCAAGTGAATTTTTGGCTTATTTTTAGTACCCTGCTCTCTTAAACAGCATGCTTAATTTAATCAAATTAGGGGTAGGTGTGGTGGCTCACATCTGTAACCCCAGCACGTTGGGAGGCTGAGCCAGGTGGATTATTTGACACCAAGAGTTCGAGACCAGCGTGGCCAACATGGCAAAACCCCGTCTCCACTAAAAATACAAAAAAAAAAAAAAAAAAAATTGGCAAGACATGATGGTACATGCCTGTAGTCCCAGCTACTCAGGAGGCTGAGGCATGATAATCATTTGAACCCAGGAGGTGGAGCTTACAGTGAGCCAAGATGGTACCACTGCACTCCTGCCTGGGGTGAACACAGTGAGACTGTTGCAAAAAAAAAAGAAAAATATATATATACACACACACACACACACACACACACACACACACAACTGAGGTATCTTTCATGTTGACGAGGTGGTTTAGGGTTCAATGCCACTCTTATCACCTAAAAAGCCACTTAATGAATATTTCACTTAGATTCCCAAATGTTACTACCTTCACCCCGTAATTCATATTTTGTCAGATGGATCCCTAATAATAAAGCACAACCTAAGGAGCCAAAATGTCCCTGAAGTAAATCCAATTGTTTTCTATACTATGAAGTTAAAGACACGAATTACTTTCCAAGATTTAAAAAAAAAAAAAAAAAAAAAAAAAGTTAAACGCAGATATTCTCCAAAGCAAATATTTGTTACAATTTTTTTTTATTCATTAAGGGTGTTTTCCTAAACACATCTTTAGTACCCACATCATACTTTACACATTATAATTTGTTATATATTATTTATTTCATCATTAGCTACCTAAAATTTAATAGAAAAAATCATTACATGGCAAGTTAGGAAGGAAACAAAGATTTCTTTTTTCAGAGGACACTATTCTAGTTTTTTAATGTATGATTGATACACAAAAAAGCTGTATAAAAGGTATATACTGTATGCATTTGAAGATAAGTTTACTGGTGGGTCTTATGACAAATATTCTTAGCAGAGGGCAGTAGTTTTTTATTAAGAGAACTTTTCCAAATAGTAATGAGATCTGGCTTTTTTCTCAACATTGTAATTCATGTTCTCCATGATATTGAACAAGTAAACAAAACCAAAAATAAAGGCCTCAGTTTCCTCATTATTTCTATGATTGGACAAGATAATTTATCAAATAACTCACATGTTAAGTTTCTATGATTGCATAATTCCAACCACCACACATTTTTCAAATCATACTCCAAGCGCAAGAAAGATACTTCATATGATGTCATTCAAGAGAGTAAAAATTATGGAAAAATCTGGTCATAAGAGATTGTTGAATGAAACAAAATCATTCATCTAAAACATTGTCAACATGCAAAATAACTGATCTGCTCTCATGGTCACAATGAGAACTAACTCTCCTTAGTCTAAATGGAAGATTTCAGTGGAAGCCAAACTGTTTTTGTACTCACTAGCTTCTTTTTCAAATATACTATATAAATTCTTAAAAAGACAAAAACATGGAAAGTTTCATTATGACAGAGAACAAAAAATCAGCACTATTGGCTTGTACTAAAAAAAAAATGTTTTGGCCGGGCGTGGTGGCTCACACCTGTAATCCCAGCACTTCGGGAAACTAAGGCGGGCAGATCACGAGGTCAGGAGATCAAGACCATCCTGGACAACATGGTGAAACCCCGTCTCTACTAAAAATACGAGAATTAGCTAGGCATGGTGGCACATGCCTGTAATCCCAGCTACTTGGGAGGCTGAGGCAGAAGAATCGCTCGAACCAGGGAGTCGAAGGTTGCAGTGAACGGAGATCGCGCCATTGCACTCCAGCCTGGCGACAGAGCAAGACTCCATCTCAAAAACAAAGCAAAACAAAACAAAACTAAAATGTTTTAAAGTACAAACATTATATACAGCACATATCAAATAAAAATGATACTAGAAAAAAAAAGGTACACTTAAAAACCACCACCAAATTCATCCCTAAAATGAAATGTTCTCTATATGAAAATCAGTGCACTAATGAATACTGGAATAGCATCTGAAATGTGAGGATTCTGACAAGCACGTCTCTAATATCCCTATTGCTGTACTCAGCATACTGCCTGCCATAGCACAAATGCCTACTATGTGCCTAATGAATTTTTAGATGAAATACATGGGAAAATGCACTGAACCATGGAAGAGACAGATTTTCTGAACCCCGATTTGCCATTAATAAGGTGTAATTTCTTGGCTAAAGCCACAGGGGCTGACCGACCTCTCCAAGGTTCATTTAGTTTCATCATTTGGAAAATAAAATATAAATTCTGAGGCTACAATAAAACATAAGGCATTATGAAAAAAGTTTTCAAGGACACGAAATTGGTTTTGATTATAACAATAGGTCTATATATGCTATGTACATACATTTATTTGTTCATAAACTTACATTTATATTTATGTGTTCAGGTGCATGTATAGGTACTTGTATTTATCAGAGAACTTAAATGAATGTCTTTAAAATACCCCAAAGTAACGAACATAAGACTGTTCCATTTATTTGTTCTTTAGCACAGTATTCAAGTATTCAAATATACACATACAATTTTGCACATAAACACAGATATCATGAAAACAGAAAGGAGACCACATCCCCTTTCACTTTATGAATACCAAGTTTCAGAGTAAGCACAATGTATCAATTTAAAGGATTAGATTAAGAAGCACCATTTTGGTCTTTCAGCTTTTCTAGCCCCCTCCCAAGCATGCCATCAGTGGGTGTTGCTGACTAACTTAGGAACAAACCATGGAGAATTTTCATCTTTGGATATATCACATAATATTACTGCTAAAAAGTCTTACCTTCCGGGTTTGGTGCTGTATTTCTGTAGTCGTGCTTTAACTTCATCATACGTGAGAAATGCCATGTAACCTGGATGTGTCACAGCTAAGAAATTCCAATTCCGCAAAATAGAGCCCCAAGGCTAAAAAATAAATAAATTAAAAGAGATTAGCTAGAGAATATCAAATATTGATTACATACTGAACCATCATTTAATACATTTAACATTATCTTGGATATTTTAAGTTAATCTGACCTTATGTGGTTTAGGTCAACTTTTGTTACCTACCAGCAGACATTCAAGTCTATTGTTCTTTAGAGAAATATGATTAGGCAGAAAACAGATTTTTCAGGAAGAGAATACGGAGAAGAAAAAAGAAAACCACAAAATCTCTTCTCTACACAGTCTATTCTCACTACAGCACTTGTGACCATTTTAAAACATAAATGAAATAATTCTTCTGTTCAAAGCCTTCTAACTTTGAATAAAAGCCAAAGTCCTCATATATTGCTTAGAAGGACTTTACAGGGTTTGATCCCCAGCAGTTCTCCTTTTTGTCTCCATCTGCTATAACTCTCCCACTTTCTGCATCTTCTCCAGCCTGCTATTGTCTTGAACACAAATGCCCTCTTTCCTCTTAGAGTCTTTGTATTTGCCGATGCCTTTACTTGAATTTTCTTCCCCCAAATATCCATCTCATTCCTGTCTCCAAATGTCACTTCCTCAATGAAGCCTTCTCTGACCAGCATATTTAAAACTGTTACCTCTTGCCATATTCCTCACCTCCGTGTATGTGTGTTTCGTTAACAACTGCTTCATTTTACAGAGTAAGAAACCATATCATAGAACTTACATGACTTGACAAAGGTTACACATTAACCATAAGCTACATAAGGACAAGGAACATGCCTGTCTTGCTTGCCCATGGGATGCCAGGACCACTGCAGCATCAGATAACAGTAATCAGCCAAGGATCAATGTCACTGAACAGATCCTCTAGTGACTTGTGTAAAAGGCTAGTGTTAACACTACTGTAGTCACATCTGGCTTAACTTTACATAACTATAAACTTAGGAAAGGTTTAGGGTTTAAAAGTGAGTTACATAAAAACAAAACCTTTCGCATAAGTATTTGGTTTGTACCATTGCATCATTCTCTCTTTAATCTGATTGGTTGTCTGTCCAGCTACCAGGGCAAGAGAAAAAAGGCAGGCAGTGATAGACAACTTTACTCAAAGGTGTGGATGAATCATCTCTGTAATTTTTTTAAGGCTGAAGCTACATTTATTCCAAGGAACTGGCGGCATACTCTTTCTGATGTGCCAGATTATTAAATCTTCTACATAAAAGAAAAAAAAAACAAAGTATTTTTACGTTGCCATGTTAAAGCTGTTAAAACAGTTACTCTAGACATGATTACTGGTAAAAGTTCCTGCTGTTGTTTGTTTTGAGACTTGTTCCTCATTATTGTTAAGCAAGTTACAAATTTATAAGTCAGAATTCTTCAAGGAGTATAACCCTTGAGATGAGGATAACAAAGAATGATTTAGTAATAATAAAGTTTTTAGCCTTTTTCAACATAACAAGAAAAATCTTCGGGGTATTTCCCCATCACACTAAAATACCTAATTGGGCAAGAAAGGCGCTCTAGAGAATAATAATATGAGAGGCTGAAAAAAATGCATGTTTTTAATTTTCTCCCTAATGCATGACTAAAAAATTGCATTACACATTACTTAGAAAATGTCAGTATGTATTTTTAAAAACTGAGCAATAACTGTTATTCTAGACCCTAGTTTTTGTTTTGTTTTGTTCTACCCATCTATAAAGGATAAGGATGAAAGAAATATCAAACAAATATTTGGGTCACTTCCATTAAAGTCCACACAAATTAGTGGAAGAGTGGTTGAAAAAAAATGCTGAACTTTATAGAGCACCAATGCACAGATCAAAATATAAGTAAAAAAATTAAATTAGTGTTTTCAGCCAACTGCTACAGTATTTAGCAACCATTTCTTAGTACATAATCCAGAGGGCCAGCTTCTAATTGCAAAAATATTTATGTAATAGAATGAGTCTGTGTATTGTTTTTCTTGTATGCAGCCCACTCAAAACAGAAACATGCAGTACTTATGTGCTTTTTATTTTTAAAGTATTTCGATGACTACTGGCTTAAAAAAGGCAAAACAAAGTGTTTTGGAGAATATATTTTTTTTATTTTGCTTTTCAGATTAAAGAAATTTTTTCGTATATAAGAACATAAAATTATCTAGATATTTTAAATGACTATAGAAATTAATGAAGTGAATAAAGGAGACAAGTCCCTCCATTCTCTCAAATGCTACTATTTTCAAGAAGAGCCAGTTACTGACTTACAGCTTAAGTTGGAAGAGGGTCCTCGGCTGGTCTGCCTAGATACTCTCTTTAATTCTTTGCTACAACTGAGGACTTTCCTCTTCTTTGATTTTCCTCACTATTCCATTGATGTTACATATTCCACGGTCACTAGGATATTCTACTAAAATACTCCATCCTTATCCTGCTACCCCCAAATTTAGTGCCCCACTTCTCAGTGACCCCATTTTTTCTAATAGTGGAGATATAGAGGAAAAGGAGAACAACAGCCCCAGGGAGAAGGAAGAGAGAAGCAAAATTCCTATAATTCCTTTCCAGGACAGTAGCATGTGCCGATTCCAGCATCTCTAAGTGACTTTGAGAGAAAAGAGAAGGATAAAGAAAAGGAAAGAAGGAAGAAGAGGAAATGAGGAAGGTGACCACAATAAGATCCCTCCAGTGACTCCCAAGTATTTGTTCAGGTTCTGCCTGCATATAAGAATGAAAGCCAAGAGGAAGCAAACCTTTTTACTTCTTTCATTCCCTCTGTAATTCTCAACTTCATCTCCTGCCCCCCGCTGGCTCCTTCTTCAAAACCTTCTGCTAGTTTCTCTACTTCAGACCCCATATTCTAAAAGTGTACCTTGCTCACCTTCAGTTCCCATTCTGCTAAATATCCCACTCCCAATAATTTGCAGTCAGAAGAAGTCACTGCCAATTAACTACTGATATCATGGCTATAACTGAATGTATGTTCCTGCAGTCACACAGTATTAGCAAAACATATGTTCATACGTAATATATAAATGTAAGGATTTAATGAATACATTTAAGAAAGTTGTATAAAAAGATCAGCAAAAGTTAAACCATCTACTTCTCTATACACAGAACCAATTTTATCATATTTTAAGGCACACATACGATTATATTCAAAGCATTTGATTGGAGTATAGAAATAAACAAATGATGAATCTCAGAAATACACAGGGGCTAAACAAGAGTTCTTCAGCTCCTTCTGTAATCACATTTTTAAAATGATTAGGAATTCCCTGGCCCAGGTAAGATTTTCATTTTACGATCTAAAACTTTTCACAGTAGCTTGACTTAAAAATAGCCCTTTCTTTTCCCATCCCAGTGAAAGTAAATAAGATATATATTCCTTAGAGTATCAAGGCTGACTTGTGCTATTTTAAAGTAAAACAGCTTATAAGAAAATATGTCCACATATTAAATAGCAGTTTAGGTAAGTGTTTAACCAACATTAAGTTGCCCTCATACTTTTAATATATAACGCCAGGGAATTCTAGCATTTAATACCCACAGTAAAAAGTCATCCAGGCTCACCACAAAAATATACTCACTTCCTAAAATGAGCAGTTAGGTTTAATGTAGGAAGATTACTTTTACTCTCTTCCTTGACAAGGTGAAGAAGCAAAGCTCCTACTATTTAGAATCTCTTTGTATCATGTTAAATAAATAAGATATTCTGTAAAATTATCAGAAACCTTTAAAGAAAGGAGAGGTTCCATTATAAAATGACCAATATCAGATAACTTTTTTTTCTAAAATAGATCTTAAAATCTTTGAAAAACGTAAACTGTCAAACTATAATATATACACCAAGGGAATAATCATGAATTCAAAAATTTAAAATAATCAAAAGCACACTTCATCAGTGATTTATCTAATTGCTTAACCTATATACAAAGTAGAATTATGATTCTGAAATTGTAATACAATGAAATATATCCTGTATTTTTTTTTTTTTTTTTGAGACGAAGTCTCGCTCTGTCGCCCAGCTGGAACGCAGTGGTGTGATCTCGGCTCACTGCAAGCTCCACCTCCTGGGTTCACGCCATTCTCCTGCTTCAGCCTCCCAAGTAGCTGGGGCTACAGGCACCCACCACCACCACATCCAGCTAATTTTTTGCATTTTTAGTAGAGACATGGTTTCACATCCTATGTGTATTGTTGACAGGAGTTAATCTCTCTTCTATTAATGGGTTCCTTCATAAATTAAAAGCTAATCCTGTGCAATGTGGTTTTTGTTACATAAACTAGTCATCCAATCCTCGCTAGCTAGTGTCAAGCAGAATTAAAGATCAGAGAAGTAAAGTTCATGTAACATGAAAAACATGAAACCAATATTATACTCTGACATTTGTTGAAAGCATGTTTCAAAGAGAATAAATTTTGCTTCAGATTAAAATGATAAAAAATTGTATCAGAATATAAGTAAGCCCAGTCTGATCAACTTACCTCATTTACTATATAATTTATGTTACTAAATCATAAAAATGTTAAGCAGAAAATTTTTATTTTGTGACTACTTGAACTGAATCCGATAGATGATATACATTTTAGTGGCAGAGGCAAACTCAAAACACAAATTTCAAGTCTTCATGTTTAAGGTAATTCCATTAAGGCATGCAAAAGAAGAAAATGATAGCATCCATATAATGCTACATTCTTCTAATTTGCTATGTGAAAACAATTATGGAGGATAATTTAAAAGGAAAAACAATAAGCATAATAAAAATGTTCATCTTAAAGTTGTTTACATTAGAGAAAATGCAGGTAAAAATCTAAATTTTTCAAAAGAGAGCTTTGTTAATACTGACATACTATTTTGAATGAATATGACATAGGAACTTATGAAGAATATTTATTGACACTGAAAAATGTTCATTACACATGGTTGAATGTGCAAAGCAATTTATAAAATAAGTACAGGACACAAGTTCTGTTCTATACAGAACAGTCTGGTATTTCTAAGTTTACTATTTCCCTTTTAACCTAATAAACGCAGAAGGCAAAGGGAAAGATTTTAGATTTAGCTGGAAAATGCCCACCTGCAGTTGTTGCATTCTATCCATCATTGTGCTAAAAGATCAACAAAATAAAGTGAGAAACTAAGTAGAGAGTTTAAAACAAAGCTCTTTTGGATGGATCCTCTCAAAGCTGACAAGCAGCCACCAGGCTCACAGCATCCGATACTCCAAACTTAAGCCAAATGGCTCACTCTAAACTTTTAGCAATGACCAAACATACCAATAAAATTACAGACTAATAGTAATGACACTATTTTCCATATGTTTGTTTATATGTGTGTGAGAGAGAGAAAAAGAGAGAAAAGAAAGGGAGAGAGGAAGGGAATGGATAGGCTAAGCAAGTATAAACTTACCTGAAACAGCCTGGTAAAAATATCAAATTCAAAAACTGAAATGTAATCATTGCAAGTTAAATCAATTGTTGATTTTAGAGCCATTGCTTCCAGGCCAGAGCTAATCTGGTGGACCTCATGAAGGCACTGTCTGAATACTTTCCATGGTACGATAGTTCTGTGCAAGGTGGAAAAAAAGGGAAATAATTGAATCAAGTGTCATTTAAGAAATACCTCCCTTTGAAGCAGCAAAATTCAATAATAAAATTAATATAATTGTATTTGTACTACCAGACAAATATTTGAGAATACTGTTCATATTTCAGAACAAATGTAGTGGGTTCTGTTTAACTCAATTATTTTGCATTTGCTAAGAATAAGACAAAAATTTAAATTAATTTTCTCTCAAACAGTCCTAGGCTATCAAGATAGCTATAGAAACACATCTAAAAAAAGGTATTAGGTCAAAGTCTTATGTGTCATGACCTCTTCATGTGTGTATACAAGGTTATTTAATAATGAATCAAGATTTAATTCTCATTTTCTAAAAACAGTCGTAAGATGATGGATCCATATAATATAAATCCTTTATTCATTGCACAAATGAGTAATATGTATTAGCCAATTCAAGAAGACTAAGATGGAAAGCCATCAAGACATTTCTGCCACAACCTTGATGTTTTCTGCAGAGATGAAAAGCATATGTTATCTAACTTTTCATATTAATACAAAAGAAAAACTTAATTTTTTAAACCAACCACAATGGTTATATCATGGGATTTTATTCAACATTTATTAATTACTTTATTTTGACTAAATATCATTCAACAAAATTTTAACATGTTATACAGTTACATGATTCAAAAACCTTAGAAGAGCAGAATGGTAACTAGGGAAACATCTCTCAACCTCTCCCCATCTGACCAGTTTCCAACTGACCTACCCTCTTTCCCACCATGAAAATTAGTGACACCCAGGATGCATTTCTTAGTTAACCTTCCTGCTTCAGAATAATGCCTATTCCTAACTTGGCAGAAGAAAGAAATCATTCAGTTTTTAAAATTTAAACTACAATTTTTACAACAGAATAGCATAAAAGCCGTCCCTCTTATAAGATAGCATCCTCTTGTAAGATAGCAAATATTTAAATCTTAGGTTTTCTTTACCAGTATCTCTGAAATACAAGAATCAGGCAGAATAAACTAAATTGTGCCTGGCCCCATTCTGTATCAATCCACTCAATGAGATATCACCATAAAGGTACAACTTGATATTCAGTAATTTTCTGCAGCAGTGGTTGTCAAACTTCAGCATGCATCCAAATTATCTGAGGCTTGTTAACATAGCCTGATCCTCAACCCAAGATACTATGTTTCAGTAGCACTGGGGTGGGGCCTGAACATTGACAGCTATAAAATGTTCCCTGCAGCAGCTGCTGCTGCTCTAGAGACAGCACTTAGAGAGCCTACTATATCTACTCATTGCTAAAACAAGGCACTCTTGGGGAAATACAATTATAGAAATAAAGATAACATCTTTGTCTTTGAAGAACACACTTTAGGGATAGAAGTAAAACCTGTAATGCTAAAAAATCTAGAGTGGGGTATATAAGGACATGCAAGCTGGGTGATGGATACACAGCAAGGGCTGGAGGGATTCCAGAGAAACAGTCTGTGGGAAGTGGCATAAATTAATGGTGAGACAGATTGACAACACTATGCTGTATAATTTATAAGAGAGTTTAGGTTTGAGGTACCATTAAAAGAAAAATATGAGGCTTCATACCTCAAAAAGGTTTTCTCTATGTATGAAAAAAACAGGAAACCACAGAGAACTGAGGAGAGATACCACATCAGATGCCATTTAGAAGAAACACACGTCAGGCTCTGATTAAGGTTAACAAAATGCTGCTGTTTTAAAAACACAAGGAACACTTTTAAGAATATTAGGGAGCTGTTGATTTACAATGAAGTACAAATATGCAATTATGTCCAGCTTCATTATAATTACCATGAAACCAATGTCTAAGAAGTACATTTTTCTTTTCCAAATTAAAGTTTCAAATACTCAGAACACAAAAGGGACATGGATCATGATACTCAGAGTAAAAAAATATGATCAGAGAACCCGTGACTTCAGAACAGTATAAATTTTATTTTTTGTATGAAGAAGTTAAAGCATTTTGTTTTGTATATAAAGTATACAACATAAAGTGGTCAAACTGTAAATATTTATTTTGTGTATAACATATAAAAAGTTTTTTTAAAAAAGGCCAAATAGACACCTTCCACATCTTTTACTATAAAAATGATTCTAATCTAGTATGTACAGTGAATTCAATTCATAATTCTTTTGAGCACCTAGTGATTTCCCAGAGCCAGTTATACGAGATGTATGAACTTAAGAAAATTTTGGTCTTATGTACCCCTTCATAATAATAATTTACAAAAGGACAAGTTACATTTCCACAGTACTTGTGTAAATGAAACTTTGTCAGATTACTCGTGATAAACCTCAAACCCAAAGAGGCATTCACTGGAATCTTAATTAGTGGTAGTAACAGGGATTAGGAAGCCAGGGCATTATTTTGTTAACTTTTCATATGTGAATGTTTGCACAACAGATACCCCTCCTTTGATCACCTCAGCAAAACACCCATTATTGTGTAGGAGGTGGGGGTGGGGAACAGAGGTAGGGGGAAGGGGATTTCAAGAATGAAGAATAGATATAGAGTATGACAACAAAGTCTTTAAAAACAAACAAAAATTAGATTATTCTCAACTGTTACACTAAGGCTCTAAACTTTCTTAAGACTAAGTGGCTACCATTCTTTTTTGAGGTGTATGGGAGGAAGGGAACCCAGAGAGCATGAATTTTCACACTTCTATTTAAACTTCTGCAAAAAGACAGCGGTTTCTACTACCTCTTCCTTTAGAGATGAAGCAATTATCTCTAATATGAGAGAAAATATTAATGAGAGAAAATATTAATGAGAGAAAATATTAATGGCAAATTGTTTTACAAATGTAGAAATTTCAGGGTGCTGGCAGAGACCTGGGAAGAAGTAAAGGGAAGAGAGAGAGAGAGAGAGAGAGAGAGAGAGAGATGAAAGGGCCAACTAAACTCCAACTTTTCACTAATCCAAAAATCTTTCAATATGTTCTAGTTGACCCTTACAATTATAAACCACTTAAGTTGCAGGCTGAATTGCTTTTAAAATACATTGGAAAAGTATAAATAACTGTCAATCTACAAAGAATAGAATACACATATAATTATATGAGTAATAATATAATTTCAGGATCTTTTTATTTCAAATAAGAATAAGAACTGCTATTTATTGATGGCTTACTACCATTTATCTATTATACAGAAATCTATTGATGACTTTTTGTTGAAGTGATAGTTCTGTTCATATAATGTCATGAGACATAAGAATATGACAAATAAGACTACGTTATAATCCTGTTATTAGATAATGAGTTCTAGCCTGTCTACCAAAAAAAAAAAAAAATAGTAATCTTCTTTAAAGTCTTGAAAAACAGTATCCTTTCAAAGAAAATGGGATTAATCAGATGCAGGGAAATAAATCTGGAAAGGTGTCAGCTGGTCAGTAGTGGACAGATCACTTAATCTTCCAGGCTGGTTTTCTCCTGTGTAAATGTGGAGAAGTGTATTAGATATTCTAATTTGAAAATCCTGCAATTTTAAGAAAAAGGTAAGAGGAATGGAAAATAGAAAGTGTGAGGAGGATGATTTTTTTTTTAAAAAAGGTAAAACATTTTCATGAAACCACTAGTTCATAAAAGGTTAAGGGTTTTAGTTTCAACTGATAGGAAAAACAAAAAACATTTCATACAATACAGGGTGAATATCAACAGAAGCTAGGGTGTTTGCAAACAGGAATTTTGTATACTACTGGTGTGAATGAGAATTTACACAGCACTTCTAGAAGGCAATTTGGAAACAAATTTCAAAAGCCTATACATTATAACTAAGAACATCAACTTCTAGGGATTTCACCTAAGGAAATTATGTCCAAAAAATATACAGCAGCCAAAGGTCCATCCACAAATCTTTGAAATGCAGTGTTGTTTATATGACAAAATATTTGATAATAAATATATTCACTAGTAACAATTTTGTACAGAAAAATATTTATTGTCATGAAAAAGTGTTATTGGGATATTACTAAATGGAAACAGTATTTTTAAAATTTTGTCCTTTATGATCCAATGTTAAACTATAATGTCTGGAGATACCACAAATTTAATAACTGGATTGTGGTGGAAGGGATTATAAGTGATTTTAAAAATATATTTTCTGAATTTGTACATGGTTTTTAACTTTTTATATGTCTAATATGCTCTGGTGTACTAAAAAATAGAAGATGTACTAAAACTTTTAAATATATATAATTGTAGAAGAATCAATGAAAAACACAAAGCAGTATCTGCTTATGACATAGCTTTATGTGTAGAAAATACAAAAATTTTACACATTAAACTATAGGAAATAAGAAAATTGAACATGGTTGCTGAATACAAAATTGATATAAAATATCAGTTATCTTTCTTATATTGGCTACATATAACTAGAAAATGAAACTTTAAACATTTGATTTTTATAATGCTATCTAAAAGTCCCAAATAAATAGAAATAAAGCTAACAATAGATGAGCAAAGCAAAAATATCAATATACACACATACACAGAGATATAAAAAACATAAACAAAGGTATATAACACTTTAATGGTAGATTCATATTACAAAGAGTTCTTCCCAAATTGGCCTAAAATTTTAATATAACTGAAATAAACAATCCCAGGAGGTATTTTTTGTAGTAGATACTAATAAACTGGTTCTGAACTACATGGGAAATGCAAGAGTCAAGAACAAAAAAGGTAATCTTCACTAAGAACATTAACAAGTATATACTCTTTACATTAATTAAGACAATGTGGCATTGGTACAAGCATAGACAAACAGATGGAACAAAACTAAAATTTTAGAAACATGTACCCATATATAAACACTGGATGATATAGTTTGGATATTTGTTCCCCCCAAACCTCATGTTGAACTGTAATCCTCAATTTTGGAGGTAGAGCACAGTGGGAGGTGATTGGATCATGGGGGCATGTTTCTCATGAATGGTATAGCACCATCGCCTTGGTG